TGTGTCTTCCTTTCACAAATTTTCTAGTTTTTGAGTTCTTGCATTTTCAAGTATTCAATGTTTCGAATTTTTTAATTCATCCTTTCTCTTTTCTTCTCCCGTCTTTCTTCTTCCTTCTTCCTACTTCCTACTTTATTCTTCCTTCTTCCTTCTTCCTTTTTATTTCTTTGTTGTACGTTCTCCACTTTTCCTTCTTCGTTCTTTGTGCTTTATTTCCAATTGTTCATTTTTTGTTGTTTCCACTTTTTTAATTCATGTTTCTTCGTTCCTCAATCTTCATTCTTCATTTTTTATCTTTCATCCTGTATCCTTAACCCTTCGTCTTTCAACCTTCATCCTTCCTTTTCTTCTCACTTCTTTCTTCTTCGTCTTCTTTCTACCTTCTTCCTTCCTTTTCACTCTGTGTTGTTCTTTCTTCATTCTGTATTCTTGCAGAGGCATCTTCTTGGATTGCTCAATTTTTATTTATTAATATTTTACTTTGAGGTTTTGGATTTCTGGATTCTGGATGTTCGAAATTTCGTGTTTTTCTTACGAATTTTTTAAATGCAAGATTTTTGAACTTTCTATTTTTAATTATTTTAAAGACTTTTTCTTTTTTTTTGTCCTTCGTCTGCGTCCTTCGTTCTTCCTTCCCATTTTTATTCTTGTTCTTAGTAAAGCCAAGAATCCAAGGACCTAAATTTAAAACACTAAGAATTCAAAAATTCGAACATTTAAAAATATAAGATGTTGCCAACAATCCAAAACTGCAAGAATCCAAGAACGCAAGAATTCAAGCCTACAAGAATCCAGAACGACGAAACAACGACGAAAGAACAACAAAGAACCATGAATGAGGGATGAAGAATTGAGAAAGGAAAATGGAGAAAAGAGAATGGAGAATGGAAAATGGAGAATGGAAAAGGAGACTGGAAGATGGAGAACGGAAAATTGAGAATGGAAAATGGAGAATGGAGAATGGAAAAGGGAGAACGGAAAATGCGGAACGGAAAACGACGCAGACGATAAAAAAAACAAGACAGAGAAATTGGAGAAATGAAGGAATGAAGGAATGAAGGAATGAAGGAATGAAGGAATGGAGGAATGAAGGAATGAAGGATTGAAGGAATGAAGGAATGAAGGAATGAAGGAATGAAGGAATGAAGGAATGAAGGAATGAAGGAATGAAGGAATGAAGGAATGAAGGAATGAAGGAATGAAGGAATGAAGGAATGAAGGAATGAAGGAATGAAGGAATGAAGGAATGAAGGAATGAAGGAATGAAGGAATGAAGGAATGAAGGAATGAAGGAATGAAGGAATGAAGGAATGAAGGAATGAAGGAATGAAGGAATGAAGGAATGAAGGAATGAAGGAATGAAGGAATGAAGGAATGAAGGAATGAAGGAATGAAGGAATGAAGGAATGAAGGAATGAAGGAATGAAAGAATGAAGGAATGAAAGAAGGAACGAAGGAACGAAGGAACGAAGGAACAAAGGAACGAAGGGACGAAGGAATGGAGGAACGAAGGAATGAAGGAACGAAGGAATGAGGGGACGAAGGAATGAGGGAATGAAGGAATGAGGCGTTGAAGGAACGAAAAAACCAAGGAAATAAGGAACGAAGGAACGAAGGAATGAAGGAACGAAAGAACGAAGGAAGAAAGGAAGGAACGAAGGAACGAGGGAACGAAGGAACGAGGGAACGAAGGAACGAGGGAACGAAGGAACGAGGGAACGAAGGAACGAAGGAACGAGGGAACGAAGGAACGAAGGAATGACGAAATGGAGGAATGAAAGAATAAAGGAGCGATTCAAGTAATCCAGATGTTCAAGAATCCAGAACTAAGAAGGAGCAAGAACGAACGAAGAATGAAGAATTGAGAGTGGAGAACGAAGAATGAAAAATTGAGAATAGGGAATGGAGTAAAAATTAAAAAAAAAGACAATTGAAAATTTAAAAATGCCAAAACTCAAAAATTACAAAATTCTTAAAAGAAAAAACGGGAAATTACTAAAATTAAGGATTAAGAATTTTACGTAGAATTCAAAGTTCTTAGAATTCAAACATTCAAATTGCCGAATATGAATTCAAGATTCCAAAACTGAAATAGTCCAAGAATGCAAGAAAAATGAAGAATAGAAAATTGAAAATGGAAAATGAAAAATGGAAAACACAGAATGGAAAATGGAAAACAGAAAATTGGGAATGGAAAACGAAAAAAAAACAGATTGAAAGATTTTAAAATTAAAAAATTAAAAACAGGATATCAAAAAATGTAAAAAATCCAGAACGAAGACAGAAAAACCAAGAACGAAGAACGAAGAGAGAAGAACGTAAACGAAAGACCAAAAGAAAGAAAAAAATTAAAAAATTATAAATAGAAAGTTAAAAAAATTAGCAATTAGAAAATGCTTAAGAAAAATTCGAAATTTCGAACATCAAGACTCCAAAAATTTAAGACCTCAAAGTTCTAAAAATGCAAATATCCAAGTAATCAACAATTCAAAACTTCAAGAATTCAAGAATTCAAGACTGAAAATCAAACTAATTATCCGAGAATCCAGGGATCTAAAGAATTTAAAAACTGAAGCATCCAAGAATCCAAGAAATCAACAACCCAAAAATTCAAGAAATGAAGAATCCAAGAGTTCAAGAATTCAAGATTTTAAAGATTAAATTAATTATTTGAGTTCCAAGAATTGAAGTATCCAAGAATCCACGAATTCAAAAATTTTAAATTCTAAGACACAATATGAAGAAAGAACAACAAAGAATGAAAAATGAGGAATGTAGAACGAAGAACGAAGAAGGAAAAGCAAAAAACGTAGAACGAAAAAATAAGGAGGAAGAAAAAAGAAGGAAGAAGGAAGATATAAGATGGAAGAAGAAAGGAGTCAGAATGAGGAACGAGGAAAGAAGAAGCATAGAAACAGAAGGTGCAGCTAGGGATAAAGCATAAATGTAAAAAAAAATTACAAAATTTAAAAAACAGAAAAACTAGAATTTTAGAAAATTCCTGAAAATAAAATGCAAGAAAAACGTGAAATATCCAAAATAAAAATTTAAGATGTTACCGAAGATGACTTAAAGAATGTAAAACTTCAATAATCGAAGAATTCAAGAATCCAAGTGCCCAAAGATTCAAAACGAAGAAAGAACCAAAAGAACTCAATAATTCAAAATTTCAATAATTACTTGAGTTCCAAGAATTGAAGTATCCAAGAATCCACGAATTCAAAAATTCAAAATCCAAGCACAGAACGAAGAAAAAATAACAAAGAATGAAAAATGGGTAAAGAAGAACGAAGAACGAAGCAAGTAAAGCGGAGAACGTAGAACGAAAAAATAAGGAGTGAGAAAGAAGAAGGAAGAAGAAAAAAGGGTAGAAGAAAAAAGAAGGAAGAAGGATGATTGAGAAACGACAACCGAAGAACGAAGCAGAAAAATCACAGCATTTAAAAAAACGAGAAACTCTAATATTACAACATTCGTGAAAAAAAATATCTAAAATCAAAAATCTAAGAAGATGTTGCTGTAGATAACTTCAAGATTGTAAAACTTCAATAATCGAAGAATTCAAGAGTCCAAGTGCCCAAAGATGATTCAAAACGACGAAAGAACAAAAAAAAACGACAAACAACGGATGTAGAAGGGAGAACTAAGAATGAAGAACGGAAAAAACAAATTTACGGAAATTAGTAGAAAATTTATAATCGTAAAATCTAGAATATTTGTAAATGAAAAAACGTGTAATTTTGAAAATCAAGAAACAAGAATAATGGAGGATGGAGATTCGAGAATGAAGATTGGAAAATAGAAAATAGAGAATGGAATAAAGAAACGAAGAAATGAAGAAATGAAGGAAGGAACAAAGGGGGCGAACGGACGAAGGAACAAAGGAACGAAGAAACGAAAGAATGAAGAAACGAAGGATTGAAGGAACGAAAGAATGAAGGAACAAAGGAATGAAGGAATGACAGATTGAAGGAATCGAGGAATGGAGGGATGAAATAATGAAGGAATAAAGGAGAGAGAGAAAAAAAACTTAAAAGTTAACAGTCGAAAATGCAAAAATGCGAAAACTCAAAAATTACAAAATTCTTGAGAGAAAAACGGGAAATTTTTCAAATCAAGGATCAGGAATCTTACGTAGAATTCAAAGTTCTAAGAATACAAAAATCCAAATTGCCAAAGATGAATCCAAGAATGCAGAACGAAGCAAGCAGAATGAAAAAATGAGAAAGGAAAATGGAGAAGAGAAAATTGAAAATGGAGAAAGGAAAATACCGAATGGAAAATGGAGAACAAAAAAAACAAGATAGAAAAGTTTAGAAGAAATTAAAACTAAAACAGAAAATTAAAATCCAGAACGAAGAAAGAAAAACGAAGAACAAAGAATGAAGAAGGAAGAACGGAAAATGGAGAATGGAGAAATGGGAAAGAGAACGAAGAACAAAGGACGCAGTCGAGGGGCAAGAAACAAAGAAAGAAAATACAAAAATAAAAATTATGAAGTGAAAATTCAAAAATTACAAAATTCTTAAAAGAAAAATTGGAAACTACTAAAACCAAGAATCATAAATCTTGGAATTCAAGAATTCAAAAATCCAAATTGCCCAAGATAAATTCAGGATTCCAAAACTGAAATAATCCAAGGAGTTAAGAACAAAGAAAGAAGAATAAAGAATTTAGAATGGGGAAAGGAATGGAGAAACGAAAAAAGAAGAAGAAAGAACTTCAAAGTGGCCCCACCCACCCACCCGGTTTTCTTTCTGATCGCTTATATTATTGGACAAAAAGTGGATTTTTTATTGATAAATAGTGGAATACAGACAAAACAGCAAAACTAACATTAATTAAAAGACAACAACTTTGTATTATGATTGAAAGAACTACAATAGGTACATTCACAAATACGCTATAAGAAGAGCTTCAAGAATTAACATTGTCCATTACCATAGCTGCAGACTTTCCTCAACCCTGTAGATAAATTTGTACTTTCTAAAAACCCACTACTACCTCAAACAGCTTGCTAGTTTTCGTCGAACAGCTCTTCCAACGACACCTTGTCGAAAAACCTGTTCAAAAGCTGCATCATTACCCCCGTTAGAAGATCCTGATAATCTGCTTGCACTTCAGCATAAACCTCCTTCCAGTTTTCGTTAAGAACTTTGTTAATATTATCACCCAGAGCCTTGTCTCCGTTAAAAAGATTGTCGAAATGCATGGTCACCAGCCCCACATCGTTCTCTATCTGACTATGACTTACTTTAAAATGGGTCCGACTGTCTTTGACGACTTCTTCGAAGTCAATTTTAAGTTTGACATGCATGTTCTCTACAAACAAAACCTTCACTCTCATAGAATAAAAAAAAAGGGACTCACCAAACACAATAGTGCAGTTGCCTTCGCCCTTAATGGGCAACAGAAGCACTTTCCCGTCCAGCTGGTAGTCACAGCGGCAGTCCAATTCGGGAATAAGGAAGTCAAAAACCCAGGTCTTGTTTTCTAGGTCGAAACTACAACGCATTTTAAAACGCGTTCCAAAAATAAAAAAATTATAATAATAAGTTTACTCAGCCTGGTAGATCTCGGATTTCGTCAGTCCATACAGCTTGCAATTTTTCAAATTTTGGTTCACCGCCACCACGCCGCCCCCGCCCTTCACCTGCAAAGAAGACACCTCCACGGGCTCCAGGTTGGGTACGGCGATGGCTCTGTAGGGTTTGGTCAGCTGGGGGGCGGCGAGCTGGACGGCGGCGAACATGCATTTCCTAAAATCGGGGTCTTTTCGGTAGCAGCGCTTGAAGTTTGGGGCTGCAGCACAAAAATTAGAAGAATTCGCGGCTTTAAGGGGACTTACGGATTTTGGGCTCGCTTAAGGCGATGCACGCGAAGACGAAGACCAGAGATTGCGTTGTACAGAAGCGGAACATTGTGTCAAAATGGGAAACTGGTGCAAGGTTGTACATTATATAACGTGTCTTCCGGATAAACTGGTTTTGTCGATGATTGTGGATGCGTAGTTCAAGTATTTTCTTTTATTTTTAATGAGTTGAAAACACAGTTTCATTGAAAACTTTGTCCTTCGTGGGTACATTGCATTTAAATTAAGCTAGGAAAGATTTGCTTGGTCATGGCTATTTTTACTTCCCGTGCGTAAGCTAAGGGAGTGTTCGAGTCCATCGGACGACTTGCCACTTTCATGTTTTATCGACGTTTCATGACCTGTATAGTACGAAAAAATAGGTCTCCCATTTCCGTCTGTCTGTCTTATAAAATAAGACGCCCCTATATTTGAGGTGTATGAATCCGTGTTGAGTTTTCAAACAAGACATTTCTAAAAAAAAAAATCAAAATTGGATGACATTCTAAGGTTATGAATATGACGAATTTTTTAAGGTTATCGTAAAATTTGTAAACATCTAAAATCTTATAATTTTTCGAAAATCTGGATTTATTTTGGACCAATTTTTTGATATAACAATTTTTTGTTTTTCCTTTTTCTTTAATTTTTCAATTTTCCATTTTTTTTTATGTTGGTGCTGTGAACACGAAATAAAATGGATATTTTTCCGAAAAGGACTGTAAACGGGGTAAGTACGACTTCAGTTTTAATTTATCGGGTACCATGATTCGTTTAGGTACTTGACGATGTTGAAATTTTGGAAAAAATTTCGAAACGGTTGAAGTTAATCGGTTAAAGCTCACGACATAATTAAATAAAATTTAGACATTATTAATATTATTTATAATATATATCAATGTTAGTATTTTGTCACATTACGTTGGCACTATTGATAATAAAACCTATGCTGCCAAGTATCGGTTTGTGCATTTGACAGTTAAATGGTAAAATAGAAATTGTCCATTATTAACGGACTCATTATTCGGAAAAATTTTGAGATGACGATCAATTTTTTGGGGTTGATAAACAGATACATTTTGACTAAAAAATTGCTATGCTCACAAAACGTCAACATTTGAAAGTATTCAGTTTTGCAATTCTTGATTTATTCAATATAATAAATTGACCCAGTCATTAATTTTTTTCAGACACCCCGTATAAGCAAATCTAAAAAATATTGATGCAATGAATTTTAGAAAATTCCTGAGAAAAAAGCAAGAAAAACGTGAAATGTCCTAAATAAAAATTTAAGAAGATGTTGCCGAAGATGACTTAAAGAATGTAAAACTTCAATAATCGAAGAATTCAAGAATCCAAGTGCCCAAAGATTCAAAACGAAGAAAGAACAAAAAAGAAGGACGAATAACGGATGAAAAACGAAGAACGGACAAAGACAAAAACAAACGAAGACATATTACAGAAATCAGTAGAAAATTTATAATCGCAAAATCTAGAAAATTTGTAAAAGAAAAACGTGTAATTTTGAAAATCAAGAATCTAGAACGACGAAAGAACAACAAAGAACCAAGAATGAAGGATGAAGAATTGAGAAATAAAATGGAGAATGGAAGAAACTAAGAAGATATCTCCGCAAGAATTCAGTAAACAATGTGTCTAAGAATACAGAATAAAGAAAAAACAAAGAATGAAAAAGAAGGGAAGAGAAAGAAAGAAAGAAAGAAAGAAAGAAGAAGGAGAAAGGAACAAGAAGGAAGGAGAGAGGAATAAGAAAGGAGAAACGAGTAAGGATGAAGTTTGAAGGACGAAGGATTAAGGATAAACATGAAAGATAAAAAATGAAGAATGAAAGAATGAACAATAAGGAATGAAGAAAGTTGAATTCAAAAATTCTAAACATCAAATATTTGAAAATTCAAAAACTCAAACACTAGAAAATTTGTGAAAGGAAAACGCGAAAAACCTTAAGACTCCAGAAATTCAGAAATTAAAACAACCAATAGGAGAGACGAGAATAGAAAATTGAAAATGGAGAATGGACAACACAGTATGGAAAGTGGGGAATGGAAAACGAAAAAACTAGATAGAAACATTTAAATTTTTTTTAATTAAAACAGAAAATTAAAAAATGTCAAAAATCCAGAACGAAAAAAATAAAACGAAGAACAATAAATGAAGAATAAAGAACGAACAATGAAGAATGGAGATTTTGGAATGAGACGAAGGACAAGAAGCAAAGAAAGAAAAGTTGAATATAAAAAATTACAATAAGATATTTAACAACTCAAAAACTGCAAAATTCGTCGAAAAAAACGAGAAATTGCTAAAATGAAGAAGCTAGAAGAATGGAGGATGGAGATTCGAGAATGAAAACTGGAAAAATGAAGGGATGAAGTAATGAAGAAATAAAGGAACGATTCGAGTAATCCAGGTGTACGCGAATCCAGAACTAAGAGGGAGCAACAGCAAACGAAGAATGAAAAATTGCAAATGGAGAACGCAGAATGAAAAATTGAAAATAGGAAATGAAGTCAAAATTAAAAAATTGACAATGGAAAACTCAAAAACTATAAAAAAGGAATAGGACTAGAGTAAAAAAAACAGAATAAGGAAATAAAAAATCTTAAAAATTAACAACTGAAAATTCAAAAATTCGAAAATTCAAAAATTGCAAGATTCTTAAAAAAAACGGGAAATTACTAAAATCAAGAATCAGAAACCTTACGTAGAATTCAAAGTTCTAAGAATTGCTAAAGATTAATCCAAAATTCCAAAACTGAAATAATCCTAGAATGCAGAACGAAGAAAAAACAATGCAGAATTGAGAAAGGAAAGTGGAGAAGAGAAAATTAGAAATGGAAAATGGAGAATGGAAAATGGAGAACGGAAAATGGGGAATGGAAAACGGAAAAACAAGATTTTAAAAATTTAAAAATGAAAACAAAAAATAAATAAAATGTCAAATATTCAGAACGAAGAAAGAAAAACGAAGAACAAAAAATGAAGAATGGAAAATAGGGAGTGAGAACGAAGGACCTAGACAATCCAAATTGTCGAAGATGAATCCAAGATTCCAAATCTGAAATTATCCAAGGATCCAGGATGAAGAAAGAACACTGAAGAATGGGAAAAGCAATGAAGAACGAAGAACGAAGAATGAAGAATTGCGAAAGGAAAGTGGAGAAGAGAAAATTAGAAATGGAAAATGGAGAATGCAAAACAGAATGGAAAATGGAGAACGGAAAATGGGGAATGGAAAACGGCAAAAACAAGATAGAAAAATTTAACAAAATTTAAAAACTAAAACAAACAATAAATAAAATGTCAAAAATTCAGACCGAAGAAAGAAAAACGAAGAACAAGGAATGAAGAATGAGGAATGGAGAATTGGGAATGAGAACGAAGGACCTAGACGTAGGACAAGAAACAAAGAACGAAGAATTGAACAGAGACAGAAAAATTACAATACGAAATATAAGAATTTAAGAACTTAGAAACAAGAAAATTTGTAAAAGAGAAACAAGAAAGTACTAAAATCAAGAAACAAGATCAATGGAGGTTGGAGATCTCAGAATGAAGAATGGAGTGAAGAAATGGAGAAATGAAGAATTGCAGGAATGAAGGAATGAAGTAGTGAAGGAATGAAGGAAAAAAGAAATGAAGAAAGAAGAGTAAAACACGAAAACCGACGGATGGAGGAAAACAAAAAACAAAAAAAGAAAAATTGTAAAACTTGTTAGATAACCGAAAATCCCAAAAATAGAACATTTGGAACAGAATAACGTAAAATTTTGAAATTCAAGAATTTACAAATCCAGAAATCTTTGAAACCAAAATTTTAAAAATTCAAGAATTCGGAAATCCAAATTGTCGAAGATGAATCCAAGATTCCAAAACTGAAATAATCCAAGTATCCAGGACGAAGAAAGAACACTGAAGAATGGGAAAAGCAATGAAGAACGAAGAACGAAGGAAGAAGAATTGAGAGAGGAAAGTGGAGAAGAGAAAATTAGAAATGGAAAATGGAGAATGGAAAACAGAATGGAAAATGGAGAACGGAAAATGGGGAATGGATAACGGAAAAAACAAGATTGAAAAATTTAACAAAATTTAAAAACTAAAACAAAAAATAGATAAAATGTCAAAAATTCAGAACGAAGAAAGAAAAACGAAGAATCAAGAATGGAGAATTGGGAATGAGAACGAAGGACCTAGACGTAGGACAAGAAACAAAGAAAAAAAAATTAAACAGAGACAGAAAAATTACAATAGAAAATATAAGAATTTAAAAACTCAGAAACTAGAAAATTTGTAAAAGAGAAACAAGAAAGTACTAAAATCAAGAAACAAGATCATTGGAGACTGGAGATCTCAGAATGAAGAATGGACTGAAGAAATGGAGAAATGAAGATTTGCAGGATTGAAGGAATGAAGGAGTGAAGGAATGAAGGAATAAAGAAATGGAGAAAGAAGAGGAAAACACGAAAACCGACGGATGGAGGAAAACAAAAAACAAAAAAAGAAAAATTGTAAAACTTGTTAGATAACCGAAAATCCCAAAAATAGAACATTTGGAACAGAATAACGTAAAATTTTGAAATTCAAGAATTTACAAATCCAGAAATCTTTGAAACCAAAATTTTAAGAATTCAAGAATTCGAAAATCCAAATTGTAGAAGATGAATCCAAAATTCCAAAACTGAAATAATCCAAGGATCCAGGATGAAGAAAGAACATTGAAGAATGGGAAAAGCAATGAAGAACGAAGAACGAAGAAAGAAGAATTGAGAGAGGAAAATGGAGAAGAGAAAATTAGAAATGGAAAATGGAGAATGGAAAACAGAATGGAAAATGGAGAACGGAAAATGGGGAATGGAAAACGGCAAAAACAAGATAGAAAAATTTAACAAAATTTAAAAACTAAAAAAAAAATAGATAAACTGTCAAAAATTCAGAACGAAGAAAGAAAAACGAAGAACAAAGAATGAAGAATGAAGAATGGAGAATTGGGAATGAGAACGAAGGACCTAGACGTAGGACAAGAAACAAAGAAAAAAAAAATTAAACAGAGACAGAAAAATTACAATAGAAAATATAAGAATTTAAAAACTCAGAAACTAGAAAATTTGTAAAAGAGAAACAAGAAAGTACTAAAATCAAGAAACAAGATCATTGGAAACTGGAGATCTCAGAATGAAGAATGGACTGAAGAAATGGAGAAATGAAGAATTGCAGGATTGAAGGAATGAAGGAGTGAAGGAATGAAGGAATAAAGAAATGGAGAAAGAAGAGGAAAACACGAAAACCGACGGATGGAGGAAAACAAAAAACAAAAAAAGAAAAATTGTAAAACTTGTTAGATAACCGAAAATCCCAAAAATAGAACATTTGGAACAGAATAACGTAAAATTTTGAAATTCAAGAATTTACAAATCCAGAAATCTTTGAAACCAAAATTTTAAGAATTCAAGAATTCGAAAATCCAAATTGTAGAAGATGAATCCAAGATTCCAAAACTGAAATAATCCAAGGATCCACGACGAAGAAAGAATACTGAAGAATGGGAAAAGCAATGAAGAACGAAGAACGAAGAATGAAGAATTGAGAGAGGAAAGTGGAGAAGAGAAAATTTGAAGTCGAAAATGGATAATGCAAAACAGAATGGAAATGGAGAACGGAAAATGGGGAATGGGAAACGGAAACAAAACAATATAGAAAAATTTAAAAAATTTAAAAATCAAAACAAAAAATAAAAAAAATGCCAAAAATTCAGAACGAAGAAAGAAAAGCGAAGAACAAGGAATGAAGAATGAGGAATGGAGAATTGGGAATGAGAACGAAGGACCTAGACGTAGGACAAGAAACAAAGAAAGAAGAATTAAACAGTCAGAAAAATTACAATAGAAAATATAAGAATTTAAAAACTCAGGAACTAGAAAATTTGTAAAAGAGAAACAAGAAAGTACTAAAATCAAGAAACAAGATCAATGGAGATTGGAGATCCCAGAATGAAGAATGGAGTGAAGAAATGGAGAAATGAAATATTGGAGGATTGAAGGAATGAAGGAATGAAGGAGTGAAGGAATGAAGGAATAAAGAAATGAAGAAAGAAGAGTAAAATACGAAAACCGACGGATGGAGGAAAACAAAAAACAAAAAAAGAAAAATTGCAAGACTTGTTAGATAACTGAAAATCCCAAAAATAGAACATTTGGAACAGAATAACGTAAAATTTTGAAATTCAAGAATTTACAAATCCAGAAATCTTTGAAACCAAAATTTTAAGAATTCAAGAATTCGAAAATCCAAATTGCCGAAGATGAATCCAAGATTTCAAAACTGAAATAATCCAAGGATCCAGGACGAAGAAAGAACACTGAAGAATGGGAAAAACAATGAAGAACGAAGAACGAAGAAAGAAGAAAGAAGAAAGAAGAAAGAAGAAAGAAGAAAGAAGAAAGAAGAAAGAAGAAAGAAGAAAGAAGAAAGAAGAAAGAAGAAAGAAGAAAGAAGAAAGAAGAAAGAAGAAAGAAGAAAGAAGAAAGAAGAAAGAAGAAAGAGAAGAAAGAAGAAAGAAGAAAGAAGAAGAAGAAGAAGAAAGAAGAAAGAAGAAAGAAGAAAGAAGAATGAAGAATGAAGAATGAAGAATGAAGAATGAAGAATGAAGAATGAAGAATTGAGAGAGGAAAGTGGAGAAGAGAATATTAGAAGTGGAGAACGGAAAATGGTGAATGGAAAACGGAAATAAAACAAGATAGAAAAATTTAACAAAATAAAAAAATTAAAACAAAAAATAAATAAAATGTCAAAAATTCAGAACGAAGAAAGAAAAACGAAGAACAAGGAATGAAGAATGGAGAATTGGGAATGAGAACGAAGGACCTAGACGTAGGACAAGAAACAAAGAAAAAAGAATTGAACAAAGACAGAAAAATTACAATAGAGGATATAAGAATTCAAGAACTCAGAAACTAGAAAATTTGTAAAAGAGAAACAAGAAAGTACTAAAATCAAGAAACAAGATCAATGGAGATTGGAGATCCCAGAATGAAGAATGGAGTGAAGAAATGGAGAAATGAAGAATTGCAGGATTGAAGGAATGAAGGAGTGAAGGAATGAAGGAATAAAGAAATGAAGAAAGAAGAGTAAAATACGAAAACCGACGGATGGAGGAAAACAAAAAACAAAAAAAGAAAAGTTGCAAAACTTGTTAGATAACTGAAAATTCCAAAGATAAAACGTTTGTAAAAGAATAACGTAAAATTTTGAAATTCAAGAATTTACAAATCCAGAAATCTTTGAAACCAAAATTTCCAAAATAATCCATGGATCCAGAACGAAGAAAGAAGACTGAAGAATGGGAAAAGCAATGAAGAACGAAGGACGAAGAACGAAGAAGTGATAAACATTCATTAAAATACAGCAATTTTTTATTATGATAGAAAAAACTACAATAGGTACATTCACAATTACACTATAAGAAGAGCTTCAAGAATTAATATTGACTCTTCTCAACCCTGTGATATATTTGTACTTTCTAAAACCCACTACTACCTAGAACAGCTTGCTAGTTTTCGTCGAACAGCTCTTCCAGCGACACCTTGTCGAAAAACCTGTTCAAAAGCTGCATCATTACCCCCGTTAGAAGATCCTGATAATCTGCTTGCACTTCAGCATAAACCTCCTTCCAGTTTTCGTTAAGAACTTTGTTAATATTATCACCCAGAGCCTTGTCTCCGTTAAAAAGATTGTCGAAATGCATGGTCACCAGCCCCACATCGTTCTCTATCTGACTATGACTTACTTTAAAATGGGTCCGACTGTCCTTGACGACTTCTTCGAAGTCAATTTTAAGTTTGACATGCATCTTGTCTACAAACAAAACCTTCACTCTCATAGAATAAAAAAAAAATAGGGACTCACCAAACACAATAGTGCAGTTGCCTTCGCCCTTAATGGGCAACAGAAGCACTTTCCCGTCCAGCTGGTAGTCACAGCGGCAGTCCAATTCGGGAATAAGGAAGTCAAAAACCCAGGTCTTGTTTTCTAGGTTGAAACTGCAACGCATTTTAAAACGCGTTCCAAAAATAAAAAAATTATAATAATAATTTTACTCAGCCTGGTAGATCTCGGATTTCGTCAGTCCATACAGCTTGCAGTTTTTGAAATTTTGGTTCACCGCCACCACGCCGCCCCCGCCCTTCACCTGCAAGGAGGACACCTCCACGGGCTCCAGGTTGGGTACGGCGATGGCTCTGTAGGGTTTGGTCAGCTGGGGGGCGGCGAGCTGGACGGCGGCGAACATGCATTTCCTAAAATCGGGGTCTTTTCGGTAGCAGCGCTTGAAGTTTGGGGCTGCAGCACAAAAATTAGAAGAATTCGCGGCTTTAAGGGGACTTACGGATTTTGGGCTCGCTTAAGGCGATGCACGCGAAGACGAAGACCAGAGATTGCGTTGTACAGAAGCGGAACATTGTGTCAAAATGGGAAACTGGTGCAAGGTTGTACATTATATAACGTGTCTTCCGGATAAACTGGTTTTGTCGATGATTGTGGATGCGTAGTTCAAGTATTTTCTTTTATTTTTAATGAGTTGAAAACACAGTTTCATTGAAAACTTTGTCCTTCGTGTGTACATTGGATTTAAATTAAGCTAGGAAAGATTTACTTAGTCATGGTTATTTTTATTTCCCGAGCGTAAGCTAAGGGAGTGTTCGAGTCCATCGGACGACTTGCCACTTTCATGTTTTATCGACGTTTCATGACCTGTATAGTACGAAAAAATTATAACCCTCTTTCGGAGGGTTTTACAGCGAACGGCAGCTCTTTAGCCGGGGCGGGTCGCGGTTCGGAGAGTTCTTATTATTTTTTTTTGTATTGGGCGCCACGTAGCTTCCTGTTGGGGTAGTTTACTCCGCTACGTCGAGTAAACAGTCGAGAAGAATCAAGCCACAAGAAAACACAGGAAAAAAAAACTAAAAATATATTCAACGGATAATAAAATTGACAAGTGTTGATTAAATGAAATTCTTCTAATATTTCACAAAAAAAAAAAATACCATTAACGTCCAGAAGGGACTATCATTGAAATATATTAACGTAATATATCAGAAAATGAAATGTATTCATGTGTCCTCGTACAAACTATCTTGCGATATGATAAATTAAAATACAAAAAAAACTTCCAAGAATTTCGATAAAGATAGCTGTGACCGGGCCACTAAATGGAAAATTAGAACTATAAGGCGTTAAAGTGGACTTAGCTCGTAACCGTAGTTATCAGCAGCTCCTCTTCGTCTGGATTGGGATTGATAAAGAAACAGCGGCGTCACAGACCTCTGGATCCGAAGAATAACTTCAAGGTTAGCGGCGGCTCCGCAGGAACAGCAGCGAAAATCAAAATCGTCGGTTCGATATGGTCTCTTCAAGGGAACAACAGGGACGACAATAAGCTACTCACTGCAACGGCATCACGATAAGCTTGGTTCTTCCAGGAACTCTTCACTTGGGTGCGGTGATAAAAAAACGAACGATAAAATTCCTCTTTTCTGTGGTGGACGATACGAAAACGGCTCAACTAAACCTCTTGCTTCGAACAAAACGATAAAAATCTCTATCTTGAGTACTTCCTCTTCGTCCTTCCACTTCCTTCTTCCAGGATCTTCGCCAAAACCTTCTCGAAAACTTCTTTCCTCCTCTTCGGCTACGTCCTAGCACTTCCTTCTTCCAGGATCTTCGCCAAAACCTTCTCGAAAACTTCTTTTCTCCTCTTCGGCTACGTCCTAGCACTTCCTTCTTCCAGGATCTTCGCCAAAACGCCTCACGAGAACCTCTCTCTTCCCCTATCAGGTCGATACTCTCTCGAATATTCTTTTTCGCGGGGTGGGAGTACCAGCGCATTAGCAGTGCCACGACGTCGTTTGACACTCCCCATAGGCAACCATGATGTCTTAGATGTCGGCACGTAAAATATTGCATCCCCAATAAAACAACCCCTTTTTTTTTTTAAGAAGGGATGAAACAAAACAATTGGAACGTTTATCTCTTCAACAAAATTGAAACGTTACAAAATAGGTCTCCCATTTCCGTCTGTCTGTCTTATAAAATAAGACGCCCCTATATTTGAGGTGTATGAATCCGTGTTGAGTTTTCAAACAAGACATTTCTAAAAAAAAAAATCAAAATTGGATGACATTCTAAGGTTATGAATATGACGAATTTTTTAAGGTTATCGTAAAATTTGTAAACATCTAAAATCTTATAATTTTTCGAAAATCTGGATTTATTTTGGACCAATTTTTTGATATAACAATTTTTTGTTTTTCCTTTTTCTTTAATTTTTCAATTTTCCATTTTTTTTTATGTTGGTGCTGTGAACACGAAATAAAATAGATATTTTTCCGAAAAGGACTGTAAACGGGGTAAGTACGACTTCAGTTTTAATTTATCGGGTACCATGATTCGTTTAGGTACTTGACGATGTTGAAATTTTGGAAAAAATTTCGAAACGGTTGAAGTTAATCGGTCAAAGCTCACGACATAATTAAATAAAATTTAGACATTATTAATATTATTTATAATATATATCAATGTTAGTATTTTGTCACATTACGTTGGCACTATTGATAATAAAACCTATGCTGCCATGTATCGGTTTGTGCATTTGACAGTTAAATTGTAAAATAGAAATTGTCCATTATTAACGGAAAAATTTTGAGATGACGATCAATTTTTTGGGGTTGATAAACAGATACATTTTGACTAAAAAATTGCTATGCTCACAAAACGTCAACATTTGAAAGTATTCAGTTTTGCAATTCTTGATTTATTCAATATAATAAATTGACCCAGTCATTAATTTTTTTCAGACACCCCGTATAAGCAAATCTAAAAAATATTGATTCAATGAATTTTAGAAAATTCCTGAGAAAAAAAGCAAGAAAAACGTGAAATGTCCTAAATAAAAATTTAAGAAGATGTTGCCGAAGATGACTTAAAGAATGTAAAACTTCAATAATCGAAGAATTCAAAACGAAGAAAGAACAAAAAAGAACGACGAATAACGGATGAAAAACGAAGAACGGACAAAGACAAAAACAAACGAAGACATATTACAGAAATTAGTAGAAAATTTATAATCGCAAAATCTAGAAAATTTGTAAAAGAAAAACGTGTAATTTTGAAAATCAAGAATCTAGAACGACGAAAGAACAACAAAGAACCAAGAATGAAGGATGAAGAATTGAGAAATAAAATGGAGAATGGAAGAAACTAAGAAGATATCTCCGCAAGAATTCAGTAAACAATGTGTCTAAGAATACAGAATAAAGAAAGAACAAAGAATGAAAAAGAAGGGAAGAGAAAGAAAGAAAGAAAGAAAGAAAGAAAGAAGAAGGAGAAAGGAACAAGAAGGAAGGAGAGAGGAATAAGAAAGGAGAAACGAGTAAGGATGAAGTTTGAAGGACGAAGGATTAAGGATAAACATGAAAGATAAAAAATGAAGAATGAAAGAATGAACAATAAGGAATGAAGAAAGTTGAATTCAAAAATTCTAAACATCAAATATTTGAAAATTCAAAAACTCAAACACTAGAAAATTTGTGAAAGGAAAACGCGAAAAACCTTAAGACTCCAGAAATTCAGAAATTAAAGCAACCAATAGGAGAGACGAGAATAGAAAATTGAAAATGGAGAATGGACAACACAGTATGAAAAGTGGGGAATGGAAAACGAAAAAAACTAGATAGAAACATTTAAATTTTTTTTAATTAAAACAGAAAATTAAAAAATGTCAAAAATCCAGAACGAAAAAAATAAAACGAAGAACAATAAATGAAGAATCAAGAACGAACAATGAAGAATGGAGATTTTGGAATGAGACGAAGGACAAGAAGCAAAGAAAGAAAAGTTGAATATAAAAAATTACAATAAGATATTTAACAACTCAAAAACTGCAAAATTCGTCGAAAAAAACGAGAAATTGCTAAAATGAAGAAGCTAGAAGAATGGAGGATGGAGATTCGAGAATGAAAACTGGAAAAATGAAGGGATGAAGTAATGAAGAAATAAAGGAACGATTCAAGTAATCCAGGTGTACGCGAATCCAGAACTAAGAGGGAGCAACAGCAAACGAAGAATGAAAAATTGCAAATGGAGAACGCAGAATGAAAAATTGAAAATAGGAAATGAAGTCAAAATTAAAAAATTGACAATGGAAAACTCAAAAACTATAAAAAAGGAATAGGACTAGAATAAAAAAAAAACAGAATAAGGAAATAAAAAATCTTAAAAATTAACAACTGAAAATTCAAAAATTCGAAAATTCAAAAATTGCAAGATTCTTAAAAAAACGGGAAATTACTAAAATCAAGAATCAGAAACCTTACGTAGAATTCAAAGTTCTAAGAATTGCTAAAGATTAATCCAAAATTCCAAAACTGAAATAATCCTAGAATGCAGAACGAAGAAAAAACAATGCAGAATTGAGAAAGGAAAGTGGAGAAGAGAAAATTAGAAATGGAAAATGGAGAATGGAAAATGGAGAACGGAAAATGGGGAATGGAAAACGGAAAAACAAGATTTTAAAAATTTAAAAATTAAAACAAAAAATAAATAAAATGTCAAATATTCAGAACGAAGAAAGAAAAACGAAGAACAAAAAATGAAGAATGGAGAATAGGGAATGAGAACGAAGGACCTAGACACAAGAAACAAAGAAAGAAAAATTGAACAGACAGAAAAATTACAATACAAAATATAAGAATTTAAGAACTCAGAAATCAGAAAATTTGTAAAAGAAAAACGAGAATGTACTAAATCAAGAAACAAGATGAATGGAGATTGGAGATCCCAGAATGAAGAACGGAAAATGGAAAATAGAGAATGGAGTGAAGAAATGGAGAAATGAAGAATTAAAGGATTGAAGGAATGAAGGAATGAAGGAATGAAGGAGTGAAGGAATGACGCAATAAAGAAATGAGGAAAGAAGAGTAAAATACGAAAACCGACGGATGGAGGAAAACAAAAAACAAAAAAAGAAAAATTGCAAAACTTGTTAGATAATTTGGAAAAGAATAACGTAAAATTTTGAAATTCAAAAATTTATAAATCCAGAAATCTTTGAAACCAAAATTTTAAGAATTAAAGGATTCGAAAAATCCAAATTGCCGAAGATGAATCCAACATTCCAAAACTGAAATAATACAAGGAACGAAGAAGGAAAAACGAAGAACGAAGAACTAAGAACGAAGAATGAAGAATTGAGAGAGGAAAGTGGAGAAGAGAAAATTAGACATGGAAAATGGAGAATGGAAAATGGAGAACGGAAAATGGGGAGTGGAAAACGGAAAAAAACAAGACATAAAAATATAAAAAAATTTAAAATTAAATCAAAAATAAATAAAATGTCAAAAATTCAGAATGAAGAAAGAAAAACGAAGAACAAGGAATGAAGAATGAGGAATGGAGAATTGGGAATGAGAACGAAGGACCTAGACGTAAGACAAGAAACAAAGAAAGAAGAATTGAACAGAGACAGAAAAATTACAATAGAAAATATAGGAATTTAAGAACTCAGAAACTAGAAAATTTGTAAAAGAAAATCGAGAAAGTACTAAAATCAAG